GTTGAACGAAGTCGGCGACGACGTCTCGGCCTCAGAAGACCTGACACGTCGACCCGGGCGTCGTGCGCGTCAATCGTTCTGCGATCCACTGTTCTGCTGATTTCCCCACCTTGCTAGAGGCTTAGTCCGCACACGCACACTTTGGCAAGCATGCTTGTGTTGTGCTGTTGTTTGATCCGATTTGCGCTTGTCCCCCCCGTCTTCTTTTCTGCCGTACTCGCAGTTCTGCTGCTCGTTTTCCATCACAGGTGTTGATCGCAGGTGCAGTCAGAGCGCTCCACGACGCTGTCGGAACCTTTCGGGGAGCTCTGGCAAGGCCGTGGCGGCCAGACGCACCGTCGTCCCGACCCGCCGGCTCTCGGAGATCCCCGGCATGTCTCCACCCGACGTGGCCCTCAGCGTGCCTCCGCCCTCGAGGGAGGGCGCTGCCAAGGCGGCCCCGGCCAACGAGACCAACCAGGAGCCGGCGGCGCGCAGAGATGTGCAGGGCGAAAAGGGAACCCCCAAAAAACATGCTTGCACTCTTTAAATGTTCGAGAGGAAATGTTGGGTTTGACTGCTTGACTCGGGCTGTATATGCAAGCTGCGGATCTGGGAAGCACGCCGTTCGAGCAGAACAGGTCAGGAGCGCCAGTCTGGAGCATCGAGACGCACCATTCGATGTGAGATGATGGGGGGGCGGCCTTCTGGGAGGGCAGGCGGGGCGTCCTGTCAGGGGCAACTTGCGGCGCGTGAGCCCCGTCACAGTGCACGGCGAGGTGGGCCCCTCCTCCTCCTCCTCCTCCTCCTCCTCCTCCTCCTCCTCCTCCTCCCTCCTCCTCCTCCTCCTCCTCCTCCTCCTCCTCCACCTCCTCCTCCTCCCCCTCCTCCTCCTCCCTCACCTCCTCCCTCCTCCTCCTTCCTCTTCGCTCCTCTTCCTCCTCCTCCTCCTCCCTCACTCCTCCTCCTCCTCCTCCTCCTCCTCCTCTCCTCGCTCCTCCTCTCTCCTCCTCCTCCTCCTCCTCCTCCTCCTCCTCCTCCTCCTCCTCCTCCTCCTCCTCTCTCCTCCTCCTCCTCCTCCTCCTCCTTCCTCCTCCTCCTCCTCCCCCCCCCTCCCCTCCTCCTTCCTCTCCTCCTCCTCCTCCTCCTTCTCTCCCTCCTCCTCCTCCTCCTCCTGTTCCTCCTCCTACCCTCCCTCGCTCCTCCTCTCCTCCTCCTCCTCCTCCTCTCCTCCTCCTCCTCCTCCTCCCCTTCCTCCTCCTCCCCCTCCTCCCCTCCTTCCTTCTCCTCTCCTCCTCCTCCTCCTCCTCCTCCTCCTCCTGCCTCCCCCCTTCCTCCTCCTCCTCCTCCTCCCCTCCTCCTCCTCCTCCTCCTCCTCCTCCTCCCCTCACCTCCTCCTCCTCCTCCTCTCCCTCCTCTCCTCTCTCCTCCTTCCTCCTCCTCCTCCTCCCTCCTCTCCTCCTCCTCCCTCCTCCTACCTCCTCCTGCTCCTCCTCCTCCTCCTCTCCCTCCTCCTCCTCCTCCCGTTCCTCCTCCTCCTCCTCCTCCTCCTCCTCCTCCTCCTCCTCCTCCTCTGGGCGGGGAACTCGGCGGCGAAATCGGAGCCTTACCCTCCCAGGTCTCACGATTCAGGCAAGGCGATGGGCGGCCTGGATTTGGTTCGCAGCTCGCAGAACACGCGGCGGAATCCGAACACTACCCCTCGCCCAGGATGGATTCAGGAGAGTCCATGCCTGGTGGAGTTAGGGCTCGGATGTCGCCACCTAGGAAGAGCAGCTCTCCCAGCGGAGAAAGATGTATATCACTCATCCCCACCGGGAGTTTCGTCGTCGGTCGTCGGTCGTCTTCGTCGGCGGCGGCTAATCTTGGACCGCCCAAGCATTTTTCAGTCCTCTCTTCGGCTTGCATGAGGCTTTGGGAGGAAAGCTTCGACCCGCGATCGCCCAGTCAGCGCCGATGGGAGCCCGATGGCCCGCCCCGCCCAGAAGCGTGGGGCTTCGCTATCAGGGGGCCCATCGCCGATCCGTCGCCGATGTATCGCCGAGCTCAGGTCGATGTTCAGGGGAACAAAAAGTGGCGTAAACATAACAACTCGGAGGTCCGCGCGGATTTCTCGGATCGGCGCTGGGCCCTCCCGGCGGCGCCTCCGGCGCCAGGGAGGGGGGTCCGGCGCCGATCGCAGACATCCGCGCGGACCTCGGAGTTTTTATGGTTATGCCACTTTTTGGTCCCCGAATGTTGGCCCCCCTGGCCCTGCCCCCCCCCCGCTGACGCATCCCCGCACGGGCGGGCTTTGTTCGAGGGCCCCCGGTGGTCACGCGATGGCTGTCGGGGAGGCCTCGGAGCTCGCCCGAGGAGCCCCCGCGCCCTCCGAGAGGGCCCGCCCGCCCAGCCCCGCCCCGCCCCTGGGCCGCAGTCCGCCCGAGGCCCGGCCCCCGACGCGCCCGTCCCTGGTCAGCTCCCTGGGGCGGGGGGGGGGCCACGCGCAGCCATGCCAGCGGGGGCAAGGGCAGGGAGGCTCAGGACTCCTCCGCCTCCTCCTCCTCCTCCGCCTCCTCCTCCTCCGCCTCCGCCTCCGCCTCCTCCTCCTCCTCTTCCTCCTCCTCCTCCTCCTCCTCCTCCTCCTCCTCCTGCTCCTCCTCCCCCTCCGCCTCCTCCTGCTCCTCCTCCTCGTCGCGCGGGTCAGGTGCCGGGGCGGCCCCTAGGGCCGAATTCGTCCTGCAAGGCCTTTCTGGTCGAGTCTAGCCTCCTCCTCCTCCTTCTCCTGCTCACCTTCCTCCTCCTCCTCCTCCTGTTCCTCCTCCTCCTCCTCCTTTTCCTCCTCCTTCTTCGCCTCCTCCTCCTCCTCCTCGTCCTCCTCCTCTTCCTCCTCCTCAGCCGTTCTGGCCCAAGTTTTTGGGCTTGCAGCAGTACACCTTCAGAGCGGCCAAGTGCTGCTGCGAGCTGATTTTGGCTCGGTGATCAGTGAGCTCCTGCTGGAGCAAGACGAACTCTGCCCCGCGGGGGCGCATGGCGAATAAGGATGTGGTCAAGGGTCCCAAGCTACCGTACTGGGGATGCCAGACATGCGGGCTCACATCGAACTGGGCGTGCAGGCTTCGGTGCCGCTGTGGGGCCCCAGCCCCTAAGCACGTCATCGCGAAGGCTAAGTCGTTCGGTGGTGCTGGTGGCCCTGCTCCTCGCGACGCTGGTGGCGGCGGACCTGCGCCGAAGCAGGGTGAACGTCAGCAGTCTAAGCTTGAGAAGCAGATCGCGGACATGCAGAATCGCATCGACTCCTTCATCAAGGCGGCCCAACCTCGTGGTGGGGCCGGAGGACCGCAGGGTCCAGCTGGTGGAGGAGGTCAGCAGCCACCCTCTGCTCAGGGCGCGGAGGCCGAGGAGGATCCCTTGGTCACCCAGGCAGCTGAGCTCGAGGATGCGATCAAGTCTTGTGACAAAGACCACATGGCGACGGCGAAGGACCTCCTGCTGGCACAGCTTCGAGATGTGCGCGCCAAGTTGGAGGCCAAGAAGTCGGATATCACGATACACACTAATGTCGGGCACAGGTTGGCGAAAGCCAAGAAGCGCCAGGCTCAAATCGCTGAAGAGCTGCGCCTCCAGAATGAGTCGATCAAGGAGGCGGAGGCCAAGCGTGATGATTTGGTGGCAAAGCAAAAAGCATTGGATGCGGAGGTCAAGGCTCTCAACCAGCAGCTCGTGGATTCCATACCACAGGATGCTCCTGGTCGTGCTGTTCCCCGTGTCCCAAGCTTGGAGCTGCCCACGGAGGTTCTTCAGGGCAAGGATGAAATCAAAGAGATGCTGGAGTCCCAGGCCTTCAAGGACTACGAGAAGCTCTTCATGGAGAATGCTAAGAAGGCGGCCAGTGACAGTAAAGATGGTGTCGCTGAACCTGTGCCTTTAGGTGATGATGAGGAGCTGGACGCTTGCTTCCAGGACGCAGCCGACGTCGAGGCTTTCTGGGAGAAGCACAAGGGTGACAAGCGAGCGATTGTGGAAGCGCTGTCGGCAGCCCGACTCAAACGCCTACGCACAGCTCAGCTTTGACGATCATCGGTTATGCGGAAATGATGATGCTGGATGGTCGCAGCCATTCGCAGTACTTGGTGAAGCGCAGTGGCCCACTCTCCAGCAAGCAGTGCTCGCCCCGCCCAAGAAAGGCGGTCCACGTATGGAGGCGGCGAGTGGGAGTGCACACTGTGGTCCAGGGCCAGCACGGGCAGTTCGACCAGTCGACCCGCTGCGCGTGCCCACCGTTTTGACCGATGATGCCTTCGATTTTTACGTGATGCACTTCGGAGTTGACTGGGCAGTCCAGCGGCAGAACTCGTTGCGCATCCAGTGGCGCCTGTTCGACTACCTGCTCTACGGCAGCTTCGACGATGATCAAGCGGTTGGCGGGCAGGCACTTGTGCTGAGAGTCTCCGAGGCGGAGGCTCAGGGTAGTTTTGTGCAGTCGGCCATGATAGGCCATGTCTCCCCGCCCCTGTCCGACCTGGCGCACCTTGCGGTCGGGGCCCCTGCGGCTAAGAGGGCAGGGGCGTGTACTCCCACGCAGACTTGGTCTGGCCAAGCTTTTGTGGTCCCTGGGGCCGTTTGTAGCGACCCCGAGACCCAGCTGGGCAACGTTTGCGGCGCCTCTGCGGCGCATCCTGATCCCCACCTGGCGCTGGATCCAACTCGAAATCTTAGCTGCAGAGCGGAAGGGGTCGTTGGCAAGGGGGCCGCCCAGCAGCAGCAGAGCGTGCGCTCAGCTGCTCCTGGTGCTGCAGGCCCCACCCCCTCTCCCAGTGGCATGCCGTTGTGTTCGGGTTTCAAGATTTCGAAATTCGGGGCCGTCTGTCCGCCGCCAACGTGTCATTTAAAAGCTGATGACCATCCAGGGCAGGTTTTTGAGTGTTACAACGGTAATAGCTGGAGGACCCTCGAGAAACGTCTCACTCGGTCGGAAGCTTTGGTGCTGTTCGCTCAAGAGGTCGGGTTTACGGATGAGATGCAAGGGGGCAAGACGGCCAAGGCGCTCTCGTTAGGTTGGCACCTTCTCTGCACGCCGTCAATACCATGCGAAGGAGGCCAGACATCTGCAGGAGTGGCGATCTTCGCGCGTACGTCGGTAGGTATTCGGTGGCCACCGTGGTGCCCGAAGGGAGTGCTGGTTCCCCATAGGCTCATCGTTGTCGAGTTGGATATTCCCCAGTGGCCCAAAGCCCTTGTGGCTGCGTGTGCGTACCTGTATCATTCGGAAGGCCTCAGCAAACGCAATTTGGATATCCTGAAACGGGCGGGGGAGTGCTTAGAGGGCCAGCATCTAGCTATTATGGGTGGCGATTGGAACTTTCGCGAATCGATCCTAGAACTGTCGGGGATGCCGAGGAAAGCCAACATGGTCATTTTGAAGCCACCAGTCGAAACATGCTCGACACCAGCGGCTAATTCGTTCATTGATTATTTCGCGGTCTCGCCGGCGGTGGCGAAGT